GAGTTGGACAGTAGGCTGGAAATTCAGGCATGGTTGTTGTTACAGTCTTAATTCCAAGGCTGGAAACACTGGCAGAATTTCTACATTGCAATCTGAAGGCAGAATTCCATCTCACTCCAGGACCTCAGTCTTTGCTTTTAAGGCCTTTAACTGATTGAATGAAGCATATCCACATTATGGAGGGTTATCTGCTTTACTCAAAGTCTAATGATTTCAAAATTAATTATATTTTTAAAATATTTTCACAACAACATGTAGACTGGTGTTTGACCAAAAGATTGACCATAGTCTAGCCAAGGTGACACATAAAATTAACCATTATACCATCCTATTTAAGATTACGGTCCCTGTGACATCTCGCCACTGACACTCTACATCCTTTACATATGTTATTTTTCTCTACAACATATGATGCTGCTGCCGCTGGTGGTGGCAATAGCAATCCATTACATAGAGCTGACTGTATGCCAGCTTTGATTACTTACTTTATTTCCACATTCTTTCAAGGAAATATAAGTTTGATGAGAAAAACACTTTTGTGTGATATCTTCACTGCTTCATCTATAGCACAGACAGCAATTCTTAGGACATTTTAAGATCTCATTAAATATTTGTTGAATGAATGAATAATGAGAGGATACCTGAAAGGATGAATTAGTGGATCATATGATAGTTGCTGGAGAAGCTCTTAAGAAGCTGGGTACCCTGATGCCTAGTGAATTCTATGTAGTCAGATCACTGGTCTTTTCTTTGTTTTTCATATGTTCTCATTTTAAGGTAAATCAACTATTCACTAGTTTAAAATTTTTATTTGTTCTAGAGTTTAAATATATTTAATATTTTGACAATATCTATTTTTTAAACACATAATAAACATTATAATAATCACAATAATCACACTCATGACACATAATCATTAATAGTTAGAAAATATTTTGTTCTTTAAGCATATTTTCACACATTGATATTAGTGATTTTTTCGTCTTACTTAATGTTTTTATTTAATGTTAAATAAAAAAAATTTTATTTCATGTTAAATAAAAAGAATTTAATGTTAAATAAAAAGAATTTTTTTTGGCATGCCGAAGATTTTACATATATTATGCTTAACTTAATAACAATGACACATTTTCATGCGAATAATATATTCCAAAATATATATATATATATTTTTAGTCCATCAGTACATCTTGTTGAATATTTTTCAGATGATTGCCAGTGTCAATAAAGTTGTCATAAACATAATTATTTGTGAGCCTTTGACTGTGGTCTATGTTATTTTTTAATATGGGAGATAGTATTGAAATTAAAATTTTATGTTTAATTTCTCCCCGACCATGCTGAATATATACAAAGCGTTAAGAAAATACATAAGTACTAGGATTGTTCATGTTTTTAGCTATACCAAAAAGTATTAAAAGATAATTTGTTAAATTAAGATGTCAGTGTGAATCAAATTAAAATTTAACACAAATTTTTATTTAGCAGAAATTTTTTATAAAGGTCATTTCCACAGAAATGGTAAATTTTTTCTCCTATGGTTGGAAGTACATGATCAGAGTACCCATGGTAATGCTTAGCATTCAAAAATAGTCAAACCAGGGTAAGATCCTGACCGGGGTAGGAGATAAGAGATTAGTGACCCTGTCCTAATTCAATCAGTTTAAGACTCCCAGGAATAAGCATGTAGTCCAACAAATTCAAGTTTTCTCTTACCCGTATCAGTAAGGAAAACTGCACCCTAGAGGAACAAGAGAGTATCTGACCAAACAAATGAAAAGATACAGTTATAGGACAGAGGATGGTTTCTTTTTAGGCAAAATATAAACAAACCAGTGTTTGTACCAGCTCAAAGCAAAGCAGTGCTATTTATAAAAGGGTCAACATCAGGTCTGAAATTTTGTTTTAGAACCCATGTGCCTGAGCTGGGTATGGGTGGCTGAGGTGCCTTAATTGACTTTTGATTACATTTCTTTATGAATTTGGTTTATTTTGAGTATGTTCTCAATTCAGGTAAGACACAAAAGAATTTATCTCATTTCGTATTATGTAATTGTTAACACATGTGGAGTATATTAAAGTCCAAAAGTAAGCGAATCTCGAAGTAAGAAAAGTATGCTGAAAAATTTTTGGCTCCCAATGAAAACTAGAAACATTTTTTTGTTGCCCCAAACAAATAAATATTAGTTCATTTCAGGCTAAATGTTACTGGTTTGTTATTTTCATATTTTCAAGGCAGGCGTTAACTACTGTCTTGATATAAAAATCGTATATGAAGACATCAGAGAGCGGTGTAAGCACCAAAGACTAGATAGTTTAAAATTCAAGAGAGAGAAAAACTATTCAAAAGTTGGCAGTCTCCATGTATCCCCTCACTTGGAATATTTGCTGATTCTGGCCAAGGTTAAGTATTAACGTTGGCCCAGGAAGAAGGCCACTGCTGGGGAAAAGAGAAACCACTAAAGCTCTCTGTGGTCTTACAGGGCTGGAGCAACAAATTTAAAACTTGGGGCAGGAGTGCTGGACTCAAATTTATGGCTGTTTTCTGTTTTTTATTTTCATTTTTATTTACTTATTTATTTATTTTTTAGTGTGGGACATTTACTAAATTCTGGAAATGCACTAGATACTGGGAAATACGCTTAGAATATCTAAGAAGGAGTGTAAAATCTCTAATATTCCTGTGATATTGAGGAAAGAACAACCTATTAAGGTGATGGACACATGCCTAAAATGTATGGTTAATATCTCCCTTATGTCATTTTCTAAACTTGGAGTTGCATCGGGTCGAGTCTAAAGATCTCTGAAGAGAATAACTGAATCTTCTGAAATATTTTAGACTGGAGCTTCAAAGGCCTTCCATGCTCTCAATAAAAATTCCTGTAAGGTCCTTAACTAGGAATAGAAGCAGCATAGTAGAGATACACGGTCTTACTATATTGCATCTCTTCTTAGTTCAAGTACTTATTGGATCGAAATGATCAGCTGTACACCTTATCTGCTTAATAAGAGAAGAATAGTTTCCATTGAAGATAACATCTGCAGCTATTCATTTTTTACTACAATACGAAGCAATAAATTTTAAAAAATTGACATGAAAAATGTCAAGATTTTATAATCAATGATCAAGAGTAAAAACAGAAGAGAAACCAAAATATGACCTAGTTATTGGAATTATTGGGCAAGATTTATACAATGTTGTTAAATATGAGCAAAATATAGTCAAAACATTTGAATGTCGGATGAAATACTAGAGAATTAGGATATCGAAAACATTAAAATGTTATTAGAGAACTGAAATCATAATTAGCTAAAATTAAGCATTCAGTGATCAGTTTAAATAATGGGATTCTTAAAACAAAAGACAGGATTAGTGAACTGGAAAAAAAATGAATAGAAATGACAGAAACTGAAGTGAGAGGGAAAAGGGAGAATGGCAAAAAAATGAGCATAAGACAAATGATAGACATAGTCAAAATATATGTAATAATAATTGTCGTTTCAACAAGAAAGGGGAAAGTAACTGGGGCAGAAATAATATTCAAAAAGATAATGGCAGAAAACTTTCCCAAATGGTGAAAGGCATAAATTCACATATTAAAGAAAGAAAAACCTCAAGAAGTGTGCAAAGCAAATCACAGATAGGTATATGATAAATGTTCTTTAAAAAACCAAAAAGACAAAAGGTAAACTTGAAGGAAATCAGGTATATAAGGTACATTTACAGGACTAAAAATAAAATTTTAAGTCAGTTCTTAATAATAAAGATAGAAGGAAAAAAGGCAATAGATGAAAAATCTTAAAGTGCTCAAAACCCCTTACCAACTTGAAATTCTAAACCCATGTAATTATCCTTTTAAAAATGAAGATTAATAAAAATATTTTTTCAGAAGCAAAACCTGAGATAAATCATGTTACATTCCTACACTAAAGAAAATATTGATCGATGATATTTGACCATATTTTTTTTAAAAAAAACACCTTTCATTTGTTCTTTGAATTAACTATGTTCACTGTATAAGTATTAGATAATTTAGACTAAAATTATCTATATCTTATAATTCAAATATAGTCACCACTCGTGATTTTAGCATAGATTGATATGATAGTTAAAAATTATATCATATTTAACTGACTGATCTGGAACTTACTTCTCTCACTTACAAATATAATATATAATGTATAATGTTCCATCAACAAAGACCTAAACCCTCATTATTACTTTTCATTGCTCTTTTACATTGAAAATTATAGATGCACCATGGTTGATTTAACCAAGTAGGCTCTTTAGATAACACTTCTTATATATCAGTATATTTTCATTTAATACTTCCTAGAATACTCTTGAATGTATTTGGTCTTACATTGAATATTTTCTTCTAAATAATTGACAATTAACAAAAATGTCGCAAACATGAGCATTAACAAATTTTCAGTATGTTTTGTGTTTTAAAAGAGAGGAGAAAATATACTTACATATAAACTCATCAATTTACGCTAAAATTATATTAATGGTGACTATGTCTGCATTATAAGATATAGAGGAACTTTCTAACAATTTGTCTAAAAGCAAAAATATGAAGATAGAAATGACATAGAAATGAATGGCTGGAAAAATGTCCTAATAAGAGAAATAAAACAAGTGCAACCATTCAAAGCATAGACTACACCACTACAGTTCAACAATTTTTCAGAGAGGGCCAATCTTCAGTTCATTGAAATCTAAACTCCAGTCTAGGAAAGGTGAACTCTCTAGTTCTGAATTTTATGAATGAGAATACTAACTACAAACACAAAGACACTGATATTTAATGACTTTTTAAAGGCTATGGAAGAAACATTTACCAACACATTATTGATACAATTGCTCTGAGGCAACAAGACATGAAGACATTTGACTAGTATCTCTACTGCACCTCTCTACATCCTGATACAAAATGCAACCTCAAGCATGATGAGGATTACTGAGAAAACCACATGGTTCGTTTCCATTATTATAGTCATTTCCATTTTAGAAACAACAAATGAACCAGCAGTTTCCAAATCTGTTTGATCTTGATCCCAAAAATGATGGGATTTAACATAGATAGGATGAGACTATAGACATTGGCCAGCAGAATATGAATATGGAGTGGGATGTGGCGCCCGAACCTTTGAGTAAGAACTGAGAAGATCCCAGGTCTATAAAAGAGAATGATGACACAGACACGGAAGCCACATGTATTGAGAGCTCTGTGGCGAGCATCTCAGGATGCAATGTGGAAGACAGCACACAGAATAAGCATATATGAAACAAAAATTAGCACAGCATCTAAGACCAAGATTGACATTAGTTCAAAAAATCCATACCAGATGTTTACTCGTATGTCATCACAGGAAACATGGGCCAAGACAATGTGCTTACAAGTAGTGTTTGAGAGGACGTTACTTTTATAGAAAGTCAGTCTTTTCAGGAGAAATATTGTAAGGAACTCAACACCAAAACTTCTCAGAAACCTAGTCCTGCCTATTTTCCCAATCAGCTCATGTGTAAGAATAGCGGCATAGCATATGACAATGTAGTGGTCAAAGGCCATTGCCATCAGGATCCCTGACTCATAGATGAATGTACAATGGATGAAGAATACCAGAGTGATGCAGCAATCCAGGGAGATCTCCCCAGCATGGAACCAGAAGATGGCCAAGGCCTTAGGTACTATGCATGTAGAGAGGACAATGTTGGCTCCAGCCAGCATGCAGAGAAAAAGGTACATGAGTTCACGGAGGCTGCGCTTTGTGAAGATAATGAAGATGAACAGGCTGTTTTCAAGCAGGGCCATGATGTAGGAAATGAAGAAGGAGATGGAAATCCATATATGCTGGTCCTCAAGGCCAGGGATATCCAGCAAGTGGAAGACTGTGTGGCTAACACCAGTGTGGTTTAAGGTAGTCATGCCTGGATCAGATGACCTGGCACCTCACTTCCTATTCAAAGACAGAGAGAAAAATTCAAATTATACTCAAAGGCTTTCTTATCAAGAAAAACCTTTTCACACTTACCTGATTCTATTCCTTTCTGAGGGTGCCAGGACTTATGACATTAAAGGTAAGTAAGATATGATTTGCTCTCTAAGTGAATTCTTAAGCTCAGAAATAAGGTTAACATTTATATAACTAAAATTAAATGAGTAAGTCAACATTTAGTTATACCAAAAATTATAATATGGAAAAACAAGAGAAGGAAGAATTCTCATCGTTCATATTTGCAATGACCTTAAGAATGACTTCATGCCTGAACTTAACCTTGAAAATAGAGGAGGACTCATGAGGTTGAGGAAGTATGAAAGAAATCCAAGTAGCTATGACATTGCTACTGCGGGCCGATGGACATTATTGTGTGCCACTATATGGACAAAGTAATAGCAGGAAAAACTGATGAAGATAAAGCAAATGAGACTGAAGCAACTAAAAGAGGGGCCGACGAGGACATGCTTACAGATGCTGTTGGACATGGCACACTCTGGGAACAGCATAGAGGATTTTTCTTTAAGGTAGAAGACAATATAAGTTAAGGAGCTTGCCACTTGGGGGATGGTCTTTGGTGAAGTTCTATGAACTTCTTTGGCTCCTTATATAACTCAAGGTCACCTTAAAAATCTTCCAAAATGCCTCATGAGGTTTTCTGTAGCCTTGGTGCAGGCACCTTCAGTCCCCTAGACCAGTTGCTTCTGGCTGTCTGATTTGTTCTGTGGAGCTGACTATCCCAGCTCAGGGCACTCTCACAGTCTACCTCATATTTCAGGAATGTGCCTGTATGATACATCTTCCCATAGGTCACTCCTATCCCTCTGATTTCACAAGGAGTCTAATTATCAGAGCATCTATCTCAAAGGTAGAAACATATTGTCGATGTTTCCCAGTTGATTTTCAACTTTCTGAGGTCTGAAAATTTTCCTTTTTAAAAATGTATACTTTCACGATCCATCACACTGACGCACAATGCGATTCCTCAATAATGATAAATATTGGATGGGAGGTATAGGTGGTCATAATAGGAACCATGAATGAGTCCCTTCCAATGTCTAAAATGTTTACAGTAATCAGGATCTGGTGCCAGTGTTGAGCATTCTTTGGAGGGGCTCCAGGCTTCTTGGTATACCAAGAGCTAAAGTGTGGACTCAGGCCCAGAGTCTCCCCACACTCCCCTCGCAGACACCACTTTCCATTCTCCTGAGACTGTCTGTATTGGTGACTCTGGTCCAGTGGTATGCTGATAAAACAATCCCTGAAGAGAAAGAAAACAGCCCTGTTTTATAGTGTTTGCAATTTCTTAGGTGGAAATACACTTATGTTAGCCAGCTTCAAGCTACAAACATGATGTCCCTTTGTGTAGACTTGGAGAGAAATGTGTATAATTGGCTCTTACAAACACTACAGCTGTCAGAGCTTTCATCCTACCCACTTCACTCCAGACAGAGGTCCTAATATTTTTAACCATCTGTCTTATGCCCATAACTCCATAACTCCTAGTCTTCCTCCCAAAATTTCATTTCACAGCAATAAAATAGTCACTTGCATGCTTTAAATGCAGTCCTCCTGGGCAAGAATGGGATGAATCACAGCAAGACTCTGAGAGATGGACATCCAATGTTAGCATTGTAATGGGAAATATTCCCGATTCCATTTTGATGGAAATTAGTAAAAATTTATCTCATTATCAACAATACATATAACTCGAAAATCAATATGCATATTATATTTTATAAATTTACTTTGTAGAGCACTTTTATCTTTAAAGAAAAATTACATGGTATGTGGTTTCCTTAGTCCTCATTATCGCTATGATAAACATGTTAACATGTTCATATGTTACAATTAATTTAGTAATATTGATGCATTTCTGTTAACTAACATCTATACTTCATTTAGACTTTCTTAGTGTTTACTTCCTTTTTCTCTTCTAGGATCCCATTCAGTATTACATTACATTTAGTAATCATTTCTCTTAAGGCTGCTCTTGGCCGAGATAGTTTCTCCAACTTCCCTTGTTTTTGATGACTATCACAGTTTTAATCAATAGAGAAGGACGCAATAGTGACCAAGTATTTTGAAAGATGTCCTTCAATGGGACATTGTCTGATGTTCTTTTCATGATTATACTGAGATTATAGGATTTGGGAAGGAGGACCACAGAGGTACATGGCCATTTATATCCTATCATAACAAGGGAATATACAGTACTAACACATGTTTTATCACCTTTGATGGTGACTATAGTCACATGCCGAGTGTCTTCCAGGCTCCTACACTGTAAGTTACTCTTTTTGTTCCTCTGCAGACTATACTGTAGAAGAAAGGCACTATGTGCAGCCCACGCTTAAAAGATTGGGAGTTACGCTCCATTTTTTTAAGTGTACAGTATCTATATAAATATCATAAAATTAGTCTGTTCTGATATATCTATCTCCTCCAATTTACACATTTATTCAATTATTTACATAAGTAACAGGAGCTTAGATAGAATTACCATATGACCCAGCAATTCCTCTTCTGGGTATATATCCTCAAAAATTTGAAAACATTTATCAGTAAAGAAATATTCACCTCAATATTCATTGCAGCATTATTCACGATGGGCAAGACATGGAAACAACCGAAGTGCCCTTCAACAGATGACTGAATAAAGATGTGATACATGTATACAATGACATATTACTCAGCTATAAGAAAAGATAAAGTACTGCCATTTGCGACAACATAGACGGATCTTGAGATAATCATGCTAAGAGAAATAAGTTAGATGAGAAAGTTGAGAACCATGTGATTTCACTCATATGTGTGTGGGATATAAAACTGAAAGCAATAAACGAACAAGACAAACAACAGTTACTCATAGACATGATCATGATCAACAGTTTGATAGTTAACCAGAGCGATTGGGGCTAGGGGTCCAGTAGATAATGACAAAGTGGGTAAATATATGGTAACAGAAGGAAATTTAACTTTGGGAGGTGAACACACAATGCAATATACATATGTCACTTGAAATCTATGTAATTTTACTAAGCAATGTCACCCCCAAAATTTAATAAAATAACATAAAATAATGAAAGAAATACATGCTGAATATTTAGTGTGAAAGGCCATATCTGCAATTTATTTTAAATGGTGAACCAAGAGAAAAGTGTAATAATAATAATAATAATAAAAAGATAATGAAAGAGAGAAAAAGCAATAAAAAGAATGTGGCAAAATAATAATAATGGCTCACTTTAGATGAAGGTTAGAAGGATTTTCACCGTAATATTCTTGCAACTTTTTGGTTTATTTTAATTTTCTTAATACAAATATTAGTCAAAATTTTTTTAGCAAACTCTTTCATATCTGTGACTTTTGTTGGAACCTGCAGCCCCAGAACATGTAGCAAATCTGAGGCTGTACTGGCCAGATGGCCCCCTGTCTCTCTGAGACCCCACCCCACCCAACCTACAAATTGCCCTTAGTGGCCCATTGCCAGGCAGCCACCTCTGCCCTGCCGCTTTCTGGAGTGGCATATTTAGTGCAGGCAACCTGGGTTAGTGCTGAGGATGCATTTTAAGGAAAACAGTGGCAGGCAGATGACTGCTGCCAGTAGGAGATACAATATTGCTTGAGCAGAATGTGGAGGCCCATCCCAGATGGTAGTGGGTTCTGCAGTGATCTGTGACTTTTGCGGGAACCCACGGACCCAGAACTGGCAGCAAATCTGGTGTGGTATAGGCCTAATGGCCCTGTGTCTCACTGAGATGTAGCCCCACCCAAACCACAAATTATCTGTGGAAAGTCTGTTCCCAGGCAACCTAGCCCCATGCTATGCTTACCATGGGACACGAACTTGACAATAAACAACCACACTGAGTTTTTTGCAATCCACAAAAAGCCTGTGCATACTAGAAGAGACTTTCGGTGACCACAAAGCGCTGTCCCGGAGATACAATATTTCTTGAACTATCTCAGGTGTTTGCAGGCCCAAGGCGGGCAGTGGCTGGTCTTGTTGCAATCTAAGATTTTTACAGGAAGACACAGAGACCATGCTGACATATAAAGTGACACTGCAGTGACCAGAGGAATCTGCTCAATATATCCAGGTGACTCTCTGGGTCCCCATACCACCTAACTCACGTGTCACCCAGAGACTCTTCCAGGTGCAGAGTCTTACAAACAACTTACAGGCAGCCTCAGGCCTTGAAGAACACTGGTCCTTCTACTAAACTGCCCAGGTCTGGTACTGAGGATAACTGGACCCTGGCTTACAGCATTGTTTCTTCCAATTACATATAGATCCAGCACAGGCAGCAACCATTTGCAGATCTCTTTGTTGCTCTCACCAGGTAGCTCTGAGCAATCAAAGGCTGTGGCTGACCTTGGCCTACTGGGAAGCCCCTTCCAAGGGGCCACAAAAACCAACGCACCCAGAGGCTGGTTTAGACCACAATAGAGCAACACCTGACTAGCCCCATAAGCAGTACACCAAAAGAGTTGTCTCAATAAGTATGGAAGCCTGCTAGGCAAATTCCACTCAGTGGGGACAGGCCCTACCCAGGAATACATACACTGTGGGCACAATTAAATCCTACAGCCAGAGCATTAATCTCTTCCATTTATGTGCTAACAGCAATAAAGTTTTAGCTACAGCAGAAAAACACACACAATCCACACAAAGATCATGTCCAGAGGCCCTGGCACAGGGGATGAGGGAGAGTATGCCACTGGGCCATACAGGATACCTACCACATAAGGCCATCTGGTCAAGGCTGAGAGATGAAACAAATCTTCCTAACACATAGAAACGTACACAGAAAGGCAAATGAAATGAGAAAACAAAGAAACATGTCGCGAATGAAACAACAAAAGAAAACTCCAGAAAATAATCTAAACGAAATGGAGGCAAGCAACCTACCAGAAACAGAATTCAAAATAATGGTTATAAGGGTGCTCAATGAACTTAAAGGAAGAATGGATGATCTCAATGAGAACTTCAACAGAGAGACAGTAAGCATAAAAAAGACATAAAAACCATAAAAAAGAACCAGTCAGAAATGAAGACTATAACAACTGAAGAGAAGAATACACTAGATGGAATCGACAATAGGTTGAACAAAGCAGAAGATCAAACCAGCAAGCCAGAAGACAAGGGAGCAGAAAACACCCAATAAGAACAGCAAAAAGAAGAATAATTTTTAAAAATGAGGATAGTTTAAGAGACCTCTGGGACAATAGAAGCATAACAATATCTGCATCTTAGGAGTACCATAAGAAGAGAGAAAGCAAGTGATTGAGAATGTATTTGAAGAAACAATGACAGAAAACCTGGCAAAGAATTAGACATATAAGTGCAGGAAGCATGAAGAGCCTCAAACAAGAGGAACTCAAACAGGCCAAAACCAAGACACATCATAATTAAAATGTCAAAGTTCAAAGACAAAGAAAGAATCTTAAAAGCAGCAAGAGAAAGGCAGCTAGTTACTTACAAGGGTACACCCATAAGAATGTCTGCTGAATTTTCAACGGA